TGCTCACCAGTGTTCTTTTATTTTTAATTCTCTAGTTATAGATATAATAAATAAATCCCATGGATTAGTGATCCATTTTTTAATAAGTATCTGCCCAGACAGGGGCTGAGTAATTGTTTAAGAAGGGTTGGTGATGGCGCGAGGTCCTTGTCCCTGAGGAACTTAATAATAATAGCAAAAAGAGGTGGACACTGGGTGAATTTACTCCATTGTTGCAGTACAGAAAAAGCCATTATGTTCTTCTCTATCATTGGTTTGAGTATAGAATGCTTATCCTGTAACCTTATAGCATCGTATGTGCCATAATATTTACTCATTCGAGCCCTGATGTCCTTTTAGTCTATTCCAAACTATTTTGATGACGCTGATGAGGCTTAGACAAAATAAAAAGTGTACTTCATCCCTGACGAAAGTAAAGTTGGAATTTGGGGCACATTATAATTATAGGATTAAATCCACCAATGCCTTCTAGCCGCAAGAAAATAAACTGTTACTGAGAATTCAATTCCGAACGAGAATAATTAGTGGCTTTGGAATGGATAATATAATATTTTATTTCGCTTTTAAGTAGGCTTATGAGACTACCATCAGACCATATATAAGAGGTATTTTCACCTTATCTCATTTAAGATGATAATAGGACTAGAAGTTGAATTTTCACATAGTGGTATGAGTAGACCTTATGTTTCCTTTTTATTTCACATAGTTTTGCTTTCATAAAAGATATTATCATCTCCACTGAAATCAACTGCAGTTTCAACTTCGCTTAGGTCTCACCAGCACTCCTAGCGAAACCTGAACCATGGCCGCGCAGCGTATAATCTCGACACATTAACCATTAAGCCGCATTGCTGCCAGTGCCAGATACGAATTTTAAAGAGAATGGTCTCAAATTAGTTGAGACCTTGCTACCTTAAACGAATTTGGGTGAATACATCTAATATAATATACATTTACCCTATTTTGCTTAAGGTGAAGGACTGGTAGTAGAATTTTCCCACAATGATGTGAGTATAACTGATGTTTTCATTAAATTTCACATATCCTTGCTTTACCAAAAGTTGTTCTCATCCCGGGTAGACTGCAGTTTCGACCTCGTTAGGTCTTATCAACACTCCCATGATTTCCTTTAGTCCATTCCAAACTATTTTGATGGTAATGATGAGGCTTAGACAAAATTCAAAGGGTACTTCATCTTCGACTTCTGTGGTAGGATTATCGATGAAGCAAACGTATTTTTGCTGCAGCAATCGACTACATAACTTATTTTTCACATATAAACAGAGTTTCGAAACTACCAGTAAATCAGTTATATGATATGTCCTTCATCACCTTAAACGAGATACAGTGAATACAGTTCATATAACTGATTTTATGGTAATTGTGAAACTCTGCTTATATGCGAACAATAAGTAATCAAATCGATTGGTATAGCAAAAATACGTTTGCCTCATCGGCAATTCCACTAAAGAATGTGATATGGCAGACCAAGTTACTCTTAGTATTTGAAATTTCAGACTTAGCTTTTCAAATATGGCTTGAAATAAAATTTAGAACATATCTAGTCTAATCTGGTGTTCTATAAGCACAATATAAAATTCTTGCCCTTGTTAATAAGCAAAACACAATAAATGTAAAGTAACAATATTGTCTAATTACACATTACTTTCACGTTGGTTAGATGAAAATAATACATTATCTAAAATTTCATACTGCCCATTTCGAGCCTATTATCTTTAGTTTCTTGATCTCGTTTGCACGACTTGGTCGTGTTTTCAGGGGTACTTAGCTGATCGCACCATGTTCGGCTTCCATAGAATCCATTATAATTTCCATAGTCTGAAATTGAACTTGGTACATTTTCAGGCGCTGCACCGACATCGCCAGTCTCAGCGACAATCTACAACTTGTCAAAAAGACAAGCGAAGTCGATCCTCTAACCAATTTTCTGCTGGCCAGTTGTGTAGTGTGGTGCTCACTGACGATGCCGGCGCAACGTCTGAGGATGTACCAAGTCCACGGAAATTACCATGGTTACTATGGCTTCTGAACAAGGTCCGCTCCCCCAGGTCACCCTGACAATACGACCAATTTGCGAAAATGAGATCATACCACCCCTCTCTTGCCTCTCAAGTTGGCGGACCCATCTAATGCTAGGGTTATGGTCAGGAGTACATTCGTACATTGGTTGGTTCTCTCCCGAGTCAAGCATGTTATCAGTCATCTCTCTCTACGTACGCACACGAACACAGTGTATTGTATTTCCACAAACATGTGAATATAAAGTAAATCCACATAAATAACTTTTTAGCTTGATCGCAGGTTTGACTCCTCTCATTGCAAGTGCCTCTTCTCGGCTTTGCTTTGTCCTCATGTTGTTTTTATTGGTTCTATCTCTTCCTGTTGTTGAACAGATGCTCTCAATCCAAGATTTCTATTTTTATCTTCCCCGCTTAAGTCCCAAGTCTGCCCCGACAGTACGCGATATTCTTGCTAGCTCTTTCCTCTTGCAATTTCATTTTCATCAGGCCTCTTTGAAATAGGATTGCTACGTGTTCCCTGAGCTTCCGTTTCCTGGTGTTCTCGCCATACGAGGTTGGTCCTCCTGTTTCCCTTCAGTCGATTTTGTGGCTGGTCAGGCCAATGCGTTCAGTTATCTCCGATCTTTTCGTATCCATTTTTCTGCATAGTAGTTGGTGTTTTTATCCTTATGCCGGATGTCCTTCCTGTCTCTTCGATGTACTTTTTTTTACAGTAGTTGCAGTTTATGCTGCAAACTCCGGAGAATTCCATTTTTTGACTTTTTATGCTGCGTCGGCAAGCAGATGAAGAGGGTTACTCTTTCCTTTATGATTTTACAAATTTTTAATTTCAATATTAGCGGCCTCAGATTCTAAGTCAGTTCGCAGAAGTTGAGACATCAATCATTTTTACTCTGTCCCCTTTGCTTGTCTTCCATAACCCTCGTTATGCCATCTACTCAGCAAGA